CTAAGCGCAGGTGGTAAGCAGTGGCGGAAGCCCTAGAAGAGACATGAACCAAGGATGACATCCAATAAATAATGTGCTGGCTATTTACTTATTGCAAAAGATACAAAGATTCAAAGCAATTTAAACAAAACAGTAACCAACAGTGATGGAAACTGGAATCCTGCCTGCGTTCAGTTTCATCATAACTAAACAAGTGTTTTGAATAAAGTAACATTAACATTAATCATATTGACAAAATATATCATCCTGATTATACACGTAACCCTATAAACTCAGTCACACCAGAGCTCAAACAATTGGATTGAAAAATTATACATGTTGAAACAAATCATCAAGGAACATAACTGATGCATTTTGATTTCAATGTTGACATGCTAAAATCAATAGTCTGAAAATTCTTATTAAACTTTTCAATAGATCCTCAACTCAACTTAGAAAGGAAAATTCCACTCGGTTCTAGACTTCGAATTTTTTCTCATCATTTCAGGGCATACATTTAGATTTATAGAAAACTGTCTTCATAATCAGACTGGATGTAAGAACTGTCCAAAATTAGCGTTCTCTGAAATGCTAAGAAGAAACATCTAAGTTTAGATCCAGGTGGAATGTTTATCCCCAGATGACGGAAGGTGACCAGATAATTCATACTGAATTAGTTTAGTGGCAAATATTTGGTGTAGTCTACCCAATAAGGCAGTGGAGGTAGAATGTGTCAGAAGCTTCAAAGGAAATTAAAAATAACAATTTGTTGAAGAAATTGTTTGAGCGCTAGGAGAAAGACAGAAGTGTAGGAATTTTTAACTTGGAAACCAGACAATTGCATTGTAATGGTCTTCTGATCCACAGATTTCAGGATCATATTGCACACTAAAAGGTAATTGGGTCACTTTCTCTTGGGCGTGCTCTTATTCACTAGTGCTTGCCCATCTTGCTATTGTACAGAATGTGACATTAGGCAATATGACATTTATCCAATATACCACACAAGGACACCAAATGGTTTTCAGACTCTGCACATACTATTTCCAAATAAGAAGCATTTCAAGGAGCAAAGCACCAAAATGATCACTTTATGGTACTTTAAAAAAGCCTCACAGTATTAAATGACTGCTTCAATATTAGTATTTAACTTTACATGTTCATACTCTGTAAATCACAGGTTATTTGAATATTGGAAACAGTTTAGACTGATTAGATTGATGATATGTCTTTTATGTGCAACGTGACTACAGAAACTCATTCCACTGCCTGGAGATATGAATACTGGAGCTTTTCAACCCTTCGTTTTGACCGTGCTTTCAGCCGCCCTCCTACCTCTCTGTCCTCCCTCACCCCACCCTGTCCCCCCACCACACTCTCAGGTCCTGATCCCCGACTGTTCAGCGCCTTGGGACATCCTCCCAATATGAAAGGTGCTTTAAAAATGTAATTTTGTTTTTTTTGTTGTTGCAGAGTAGTAAGGTACTATACTCAAATGTGCAAATAGACACTAGAGTGGGAAATATTTGCTGTTTAGCTTAAAAAATAAAACAGCAAGGACATTTGGTGAAATATCCAGAGTGAGCCAACAGTACGCTGTACACATATGGCTGCAAAGATACACGTGTATTCCTGCATTCTGTGAGCAGGTACAGTACGTTAATAAAGGGAAGCCAGAACATTTCAATACTCTGAGAATGTAAGATTCCTGGCAAAGGGAGGACACTATACCTCGCATGTTAACGTTTCAACTGTGTTTTTACACAATTCCCTTAAAAAATAGTACAGATAAGCAGAAATCCACTTCTCCCTTTCTAACAAGGTTGGATTTATCTTGCCATTGAGAAGTTTAGCTTGTGGCATACAATGGGAGAGGAGGACATACTTTGACATAAGATTCAAAGCATCATCAAACAAATGTTTTTTTTTCTTTTTAGGGAACAATGCTTTCGAATAATAAAGAATATAGTCTGATTCTGTATCGTCCAACAACTCAGTTGTACAACCTGTTCATTGTCATGCTAAACACATCTACAAAATATACATTGCTCTTGTTTGAGGGGTGTTACTCTAGATCAACAGACTTTTATAAACATAAGCCTATCAAGTACTGATATAATTTCAGCATTCCTTCAGCTAAGATCCACCCTTACTTTCTGTTCTGTGTTTTTCTGTTAAAAGCTAGAAAGTAGACACACATGTCGGGTCTGGCCTCCTCCTTGTCCCCGAGTCCTCCGCTCCACTCTCGGCGGCTGTGCCTTCAGCCACTGTGCCCCGAGGCTCTGGAACTCCCTTCCTCACTCCCTTCATCTCGCTCCCTCCCTTCCCAATTTCAGGTCTCTGCTGAAGACCTTTCTTTTCGACTGCGCCTTTGGTCACCTTCCCACCCCTCCCCCTGACTCGGCCCCGGGATCCGTCACTGTGAAGCGCTCTGAGACGCCGTCCAGCGTGGAGGGCGCTATATAAATCCAAGTTGTTGTTGTTATTAATTTGTAGCAATTCCAGAACATGTATATACACAATGTATATATACAGGCAGGGCGAAACATTGGGTAAGTTTCCTTACTCCACACGCTTCTGTTTACCTGCCAGTGAGTAGCAACTCAGTTGTTAGTCAATTGGTGGATCACTTTTCTGGGGTAATAATGCCTTCAAAAAAATGTGGCCACTTAATCCCCGACTGTTTGTGGGACACTGCTGACTGCAATTGCCTGCCGCGTTTCTCCCACAAAATACACAGTCAATTGACTTTACCGTATATTCTGTGAAGTGCTTTGAGACGTCTCGAAGACGTGATAAGGCGCTATATCAAATGCGACGATTATTATTATTATATATACACACCGTGTACAATACATATATTTCCAGCTTTGGTGACAAAATACTGTAGCTCAGTGGTTAGAGCACTCGCTTTGCAAGTGAGAGACCTGAGTTCAATTCCAGGCAGAGGGCGAAACCTTGGGCAAGTTTCCTTACTCCACACAGAGCCTAATAATAATCCCTCCAAAACCAAAAACAATAATAAATTGGTCATTTTCAATCTACGACTGTTTGTGGGACATTGCTGTGCGCAATTGGCTGCCGCGTTCGCCCACAAATATACAGTCAATTCACTTTACAGTGTGTTCTGTGAAGCGCTTTGGGACGTCCTCCCGACGTGAAAAGCGCTATATCAAATGCAAGGATTATTATTATTATTATTATAAAGGCGATGTGCTCCTTCGATGCAGTCTGCAACAGCTTACTTTACAAACACAACTCGCTCGAGCTTGTGACAAATAGGGTTGTCTCCTAAGGAAATAAGACTTTAAGTCGCTGTAGATGGTTCTGCAAACAGCCGATATAGAAAATACAGACTGGTGGGTGTAAATAGCTGTGAGATTCACACCTGGGAGGGTCTGTTACACTGGAGCAAGAACCAACCAGTGTCAAATCGTCAGCCCCAAACTCCTTGTGCACTTTTAACCAGGTCGACAGGAGAAAGGAGTCAGTCTCGCCGAGGAATATAAAGGCACCGACTGATCAGACTGTACAAACCTAAAACAACCTGAAATGAACACACGCCGCCTCCTGCACATTGCACATCGCTGCACTGTTCGGAATGAAGTGCAGAGGTCTGACACACACACACACACACACAATACACAAACACACACAAAACACACACAACACACACACACAACACACACACACACACACACACAACACACACACACACAACAACACACACACACAAAACACACAATACACACAACACACACACACACAACACACACACACAAACACAACACACACACACAAAACACACACACACACAACACACACAACACACACACACACACCACAACACAAGCCACAAGTGTGACTGTTGTACATGTTCGGAAAGTCTTTGTGGAATTGGCTTTTTTCCCCCCCACACACACAAAAAAAAGACTTTGACAAGTGACAACGGCGACGCCAGCAATATCACTGGGTAATAAAAAAAAGTGATGCCTTTTTTATTGTGGTGCACCAGGGGAGGGACACACACACACACACTCTGCACAAAAGGCAGACTGACTGCTGACTGACTGACGGTGGGGTGTGGGGGGAACAGGAGACAAGTGGCCGATCTGCAGAGCAGAGCCCGACCTTCAAACCCCTCAATTCCGGGACATAACGAAGGAGAGAGAGAGACACACACAGAGACACACACACACACACACACAGAGACACACACACACACACACAGACACACACACACACACAGATACACAGACACACACACACACACACACACAGACACACACACAGAAATACAGAGAGGCGCACACACAGAGAGACACACACAGAGACACACACACACACACAGAGATACAGAGAGAGACACACACGGAGATACAGAGAGAGACACACACACACAGAGACACACACACAGAGAGACACACACACAGAGATACAGAGAGAGACACACACACACACACAGAGATACAGAGAGACACACACACACACAGAGAGACACAGACACAGAGAGACACACACACAGAGACACATACACGAGACACAAGAGACACACATAGATACAGAGAGAGAGAGACACACACACATATACACTGAGACACAGAGAGAGAGAAAGAGACACTCACACAGACACACACACACACACGAGAGCCACAGACACATAGAGAGATAGAAAGAGAGAGACACAGACACACACACAGACACAGACACACACAGAGAAACCCGTCAGCCTCTGGATCCCTGGGCCTGTAACTACAATGTATCCAATCAATACTCGGGGCTGCAGTGTCCAGTGGCGGAGCTGTGACCAACACATCGCTTTTTTTAAAAAAAAAGTCAATAAAATGAATAAAAAGGAATCAATCACAACAAAACCAACCAACAAACAGGAGGAGGAGAGGGGGGTGTGGGGGTGTGGGGGTGTGGGGGGGTGTGGGGGGGAGAGAAACATCAACACCCAAATGGGTTATTATTATTATTTTTTTCAAAAATAAACAAACAATGATAAATAACAGACTCACATCTTCAAACAGGGATCCAACGTTGGCGGTGACCAACAGAACTCCAGTGCCCTGAGCCGCCGTCTTCACCGCCATAATCTTCAGATCTAAAAGCAACACCTTGTGTGCGTTTGTAGATCAGTAAAAGGCTTCTCCTCCCCCAGACTCTGTCTGTCTGTCCCTCTCTCTCTGTCTGTCTGTCTGTCTGTCCCTCTCTCTCTGTCTGTCTGTCCCTCTCTGTGTCTGTCTGTCCCTCCCTCTCTGTCTGTCTGTCTGTCTGTCCCTCTCTGTGTCTGTCTGTCTGTCCCTCTCTCTGTCTGTCTGTCTCCTCTCTGTCTGTCTGTCTGTCCCTCTCTGTCTGTCTGTCTGTCTGTCCCTCTCTGTGTCTGTCTGTCTCTCTCTCTGTCTGTCTGTCTGTCCCTCTCTGTGTCTGTCTGTCTGTCCCTCTCTGTGTCTGTCTGTCTGTCCCTCTCTCTGTCTGTCTGTCTGTCCCTCTCTGTCTGTCTGTCTGTCGCTCTCTCTGTGTCTGTCTGTCGCTCTCTCTCTGTGTCTGTCTGTCGCTCTCTCTGTGTCTGTTGGTCGCTCTCTCTTGTGTCTGTCTGTCGCTCTCTCTGTGTCTGTCTGTCCCTCTCTCTGTGTCTGTCTGTCCCTCTCTCTGTGTCTGTCTGTCTGTCTGTCTGTCTGTCGGCTCCGACCGACCCTCAAGCAATGTTCTGGACACAGTTTATCGCACACACTCTGCGGTCAGACTCTGCTCTCCCACTCGATCCGCTCCTGAGGCTCCTTCATTCATTCACACACTCTCTCTCTCTCTCTCCCACTCTCTCTCTCTCTCTCTCTCTCTCTCCCTCCTGCTCTCCCCCACCCCCCCCTCCCTCCCTCCCTCCCTCCCTCTCTCCCTCTCCCTCCCTCTCTCTCTCCTTCCCTAACCTCTTCACTTGGGATCTTCGCTGCTGTGGCTGTTCTTGTTGTTATTACCGCTGCGTTTGATCATCATCAGCAACAACAACATCTTCTGCTCCGGAACACACACTCACTCTCACACTCTCACACTCACTCACAAGACAACACACGACCACCCTCTCTCTCTCTCTCTCTCTCTCCCCCCCCCTCCCCCCCCCCACCCCCTCCCAGATCCCCCCTTTTTTTCCTTCACACCCACAAAAGTTTTCTTTCTTCTGCTCTCTTTAAAACAAGGCGATCACTTTGTTTCCAAACATTGCTCCCAGGCTCTGCCCCCAGTTGAATGCTCTTTGCCTCTGGCTCACAGGCTGTCGCCCAGGAAACATTGCGTGGAATTGACTCGTCGTAATAAGGCATTGAATGTGTTTTTTTTACACACACACACACATACACACACATACACACACTGTCCTGACGTCAGTTACCAGATGAAAAGATCCTGCTCTTAAAAAGGTAACGTCTGATTGGAAACGGGGCCCACAGGCACTGGGCTGATTTAAAAGGGGCGGGTGGGGTGGAGAGGGGGGTGAGGGGGGAGAGATCAGAGAGACAGAGAGAGAGAGAGAGAGAGCAGCAAATGCATTAACGCTACCAGCCTCAGTTCTGCATTAGATAATAATAATAATAATAATAATAATAATCCTTGCATTTGATATAGCGCTTTTCACGTCGGGAGGACGTCCCAAAGCGCTTCACAGAACACACTGTAAAGTGAATTGACTGTATATTTGTGGGCGAACGCGGCAGCCAATTGCGCACAGCGATGTCCCACAAACAGTCGTAGATTGAAAATGACCAATTTATTATTGTTTTTGGTTTTGGAGGGATTCCCTTGCAGTGCCTGTATCTACTGTACAGGGTGACCCCCCCCCCCCCCCCCCCACCTACCCCCCACACACCACACACCCAAAAAAAAAATTATTGCTATCTATTACCCTGTTGTCTGAAAGCAAAAACCCAGACCCGCAAATATCCTGGTGACTGTGTAAGACTGATTATTGCACCCTGTAAATGGTATCACAACTTTTTTGCTCACCCTCAAACCTGCGGCAGGAAGCGAAGGCGAATAATGCAATACTCCCTCGGAAAGGTTCATTAAATAAATGTAAACAGACGGAAATGTTTAAACCTCACGCCACAGCTTTACATTCTTTCTGCTGAAATGCAGAAATGCTGAATGGCCGGGGCACGGGTCTGGGACCCAAGAAAGCCTTTCAGCTGTTTGTTCATTGTCCCTCAGATTAACTCAATAAAATCATTCAAGAACCAGAAAATTATGAATGAAGTTTTTAAACCAGACTGGGGAGGGGAGGAAGGCAGGTGATCTCTTCCTTTATCAGTGGAGAGAGAGAGCGAGACCCATGCTTCACTGTGAAAATAATACTGTATTTTTTTTCAACAAAAAAAAGGTTCATTTATATCTAAATAATTAAATGCACTTAGTTTTCTTGCATTGCGTACAACGTCTTGTTCCAGGAGACGTTACTTCTGGTTTGGTTTCGTTTTCGAACTCAAACTGGCTGAGCAGTGAAATGTCACCAGTGATGTTCAATTGACTACAAAGCAATTTCACGCCAAGCTTTTCCCTGGCTGCAAAATAACATCGCCCTTAATATATCTAATCGGGTGGATGTGTTCGAAGTAAAATGGATCAAGTGGTCATACAAGGAAAATGTCCACAGTGATAACTCGGTGGCGAGTTTCAGTGATGTGAAGCTGCTGGAGAGTTAGAAACTGGTACACAATGTCAGTGCTTTGGGCACCTATTGCTTTACACAGGCTTCCCCTCTCTCTCTCTCTCTCTATATATATATATCTCTGGACCACTAAGAAACAAAGTAGATTGAGTGCGACAACTATATGTGTTCCCAGGCTTCTGTCAATGATGTTCTTAAAAGTGCTCTACAACAGGCTGAAGTGACTCCCCCTCCTCACATCTTCACATCTTCTAGACGTCTCAAAAGCGCTTCAGAGAATATACTGTAAAGTGAATTGACTATATTTGTGGGCGAAACGAGGCAGCCAATTGCGCACAGCAGTGTCCCACAAACAGTTGTGGATTGAGTGACCAAATTGTTATTGGTTTTTTTTCTTGAGGGATTATTATCAGGCATGTATCAAGTCTCAGTTTGTGGCTTGAACCTGACCCAGAGACTATTGCTATGATTCTTTCAGGTCAATCTATATTTAATTTCTTGCAAAAAAATTCTACGTATTTCTTTCATGCAACTGGTCAGGGTTTCAGGGTTTGGAGGAAATTGTTGTAATGCTCTTTCTGGGAGGAAGTGGTTGCAATGATCTTGAGGAAATTTCTCTGATCGTTCTTTGAGGAGGAAGTGGTTGTGATCTCCTTCCTGTATGAATTAAATAATAATTTTACAAAAAAAACTTGCATTTGATCTGGCGCTTCTTGCATCAGGAGAATGTCTCAAAGTGTTTCACAGGATTTTACTGTACAGTGTAGTGACTGTATTTGTTGGCAAATTTAGTTGGGATACTGGCTGAAGAAGTGGCTCATTTATGCTCATTCTCATAAGCGCTCCAAGACACTATGTGAAGGGCTCAATATAAATGCAAGTTGTTGTTTGTTGTTTATTGGCGGAGCTAGTATACCCTTGAGGAAGTAGTTATAATCTTATTTCTGGAAGTTGTGCTGGCTTCCAAAACAAAACGTCAGGTTGCACATGTCTGGTGAATTGACTCATTGCTCCTCAGTAAATTTGATTTCAATTTAGTTTTATTATCATTCTTCCAGAGGACAGCTAATTGGTTTCAAACAGCATTTAGTTAACTTAGAAAAGTCTTGAGTCGGTTAAAAAAAAAGCAGATTCATGCTCTTGTCAGGCGCAGGAGGACATGGATGTGTCCATGAAGATACCAATCTCAAAGGTTTTGTTCAGGAAATGCCAAGTGGAAATGAAGCATTTTCCGCACAGACACAAAGGAGTCCTGTAGCTCAGTGATTGGAGCACTCGCCTTGCAAGCGAGACACCTGGGTTCAATTCCAGGCAGGGGGAAACCTTGGGCAAGTTTCCTTACTCCACACAACTGATAATAATCCCTCCAAAACAAAACAATATTAAATTGTTCATTTTCAATCCACAACTGTTTGTGGGACATTGCTGTGCGCAATTGGCTGCCGCGTTTCGCCCACAAATATACAGTCAATTCACTTTACAACATATTCTGTGAAGCGCTTTGAGACGTCGAGAAGACGTGAAAAGCGTTATATCAAATGCAAGGATTATTATTATTATTATTATGGATCTGACATGCCAATGCGTTGCAAAAGGAGAATTGCATTGTAGGAAGTCACGTTCTTCAATGCAGACACCAAGATTGTACCTGCCTGTTCAAGTGGACATTAAAATTGTGGTTGTACCTGTATATATGACACTATTTATATATGTATATATGAAAAGAAAGAAAAAAATAAAAAAAGACGTCTAGAAGACATGAAAAGCACTATATCAAATGCAAGGATTATTGTTATTATTTGGAAAGGAGTTTCTCCCAATGTACCAGCCAACAATGTTACAGATAAATCGGTCAACAAGCACAGAAGTTGCTTCCAAATAAATCGGTCATTCACTTGGGTGGCTGTTTACAGGATCATGTTGTGTGCAAAATAACTGAATATTTGGGTACAAATACACAGTCTCCGCATTTCAAAGCAATTGCCTGAGATATTGACATGTTGTCATGTTATTTGCCATCATATATTCAAAGATTATTAACAAATGTGGGAAATCCATGCCAGAAAGAAAAAAAATGAAATTGAAGATAAAATTGAATTTGTTTGCACCACGTTGATCAGTAATAAAGCAGCACAGGGTTTTCTTTTGATAGCTTTGCTATGACTAACTTGATTACAAGGTGTAGACATGAGCTTCGAGGGTGATGTAGGCCATAATAGGTGTATAATGGAAATTATACTTTTAAAATTTGCATTCTCTTCTACTGAAGGGCTTGGTAACCATGAACTACATTACTGATGAACTAAATGTGACTCAGAATTATGTTCTGTAACAATAGGCCAGCCATGGGATATGATAAATATTGCTACTGATTAAATGCGGCGTAGACTAATGGAATGAAAGAATACTCTTTCCCACAAGTTTGGTTTGGGTGAAGAAGCCATTAGCCCATCTGTTTTTAAAGGATTCTGCTGACTTCAGGGGTCCAACAACTTTGTAGGGAAGGCAACAGAATGAAACTGAAAAGTGTCCCTGAATCAAAAAATC